AATGAAGTGTCTGAAAATTCATCTTTTAATTTGTATTATGTATTATAAATGATAAAATGTGAAATATAAATTATTTATTATATTATTATAAGTACCCTTTAAAATAAAAGAGAACAAATGAGGGCATTGCTAAATGGTTTCTACGGCATTCCGGGAGGATGCTTAGTCAGAAGAGCCCATTGGCTTTCAAATCAAGTAATGCTGTTTATTAAAAATCCAGACAGAGTTGTTTGGCAGTAACATTTATTGGTGTTTCCCATGAAAGTAAAACACATTTCAAGAGGGTGTTATCTGCCTCTCTCTATATAATTTCAACACACTAGTTGTTTGTAACACATCATCTGAACATCAGTTCCTCAGACAATCGCTTTACTTTCAAGCAATGTTGGGTGAGAAAGAAAAAAAAAAACATGAATTCACCCAGTCACATGGTGTTACCCTGTTCGGTCATGTTCATGACAACATGAGTTCCTCATATGACAAACTGATGGACATGATGGGTAGCCGTGAAACAGCAGAGAAAACACTGCTCTTAAAGGTCGGCGAGCTGCTACAGGGCAAAGCAAGAGAAAGATAGACACAGGAAGAAGAGAGTGCGATAGAAAGACATAGAGACTTTGAATATGCTTATAGAGGCATGCCAAGGAACTGCACACGCTAATATTAAAGCTGCAGAAAACAACCAAAGCGAAAGACAGGGAGAAAGATAGAGATACAGTCGCGAAAGCATACAACTTCTAGCCACACTGAACATGCTTGCTTAGCAGATAAATACGTCGGATAATGCTAATACAGAGTGAGCAAGCTAGCGACAGTGTACTATATATTTGAAGCTAAGCTATCCATATTGCCACTAAAACTACCACCAGATTGCACTAAACATATATATATATATATGTGAATATCTGGGATTGTATTTCACAAGCTCGGAAGGCAAGGTGTTCATGCACGTGCAAAGAGAGCAGGTTTGTAGCAGCAGCAGGGAAAGACGGCACAGTGGGCATTCCAAGACTACCATGGTGAGGATGTCGATGCATTTGTCGTGATTACAAGAGCTTAAAATACACAAACTATGTGACACAGCTTGTTGATCCTGAAAAGGGACAGAAAGAACAGTCATATCGTGAAAATTACGAACTTAGCGTTCCTTAAATGTTAAAAAATCAGCTTTACCATTATGAAAATTAACCTTGGTTTTACCTACAGATAAAACCAAAAAACCATGGGTAATATAGTTAAATCATGGTAACCACAAATTAACCATTTTTAATTGCAATAAAACTGTGGTTATACAATTGGTAATCAATCTGCCAAAAAACATGGTCACTACACTTTCGCTATAATAAAACCATGGTTAATTTTCATAACTATCCGGATTAGCTGGTTTAAATTGGTCTTCCAGCCTGACCAGGGGCATTTCCCGTAAAATGACATAACTCACCGCTTAACCACCTTTGTATGATGCATCGTTGTAGAAACTAGCTAGCCATGACTTTTTTTTCCAGAAACGTAGACATTCGTCTTTCGAACCACATTAGAACTGCCGTAGATGACGTCAGGCAGGTGGTGGAGTGATAATTTCTGGCAATTAATCAGTTTACGATCAAATTAAAGGGGTGGTTGATTATGATTTCACTTTTTGAACTTTAGTTAGTATGTAATGTTGCATAAACAACGTCTGCAAAGTTACGACGCTCAGAGTTCAATGCAAAGGGAGATATTTTCTTTTAAAGAAATCGCTGTTTAAGGACTACAAAAAATGACTGGTAGGGACTACAACGAGCTTCTTCCTGGGTTTGTGACATCACAAACCCTGATGTTTACATAAACCCCGCCGCCGGGAACACGCAACTACCCATAATGGTAAGGGGGCGTGACGTTTCCAGACAACGTGCACTAGGCGGTTAGCGAATCACAAACACACTGAGCCTGTTAACCAGTCAGAGCCCACTGCGTATTTCTGAGGGAGGGGCTTCATAGAACCAGGAACTCAACAGACCGTTTTGACGAGAATGGAAACAGCGGTGTAGATACAAGGTAAAATATGTAAAAATAATGCGTTTTTTTTATGTGTGGAATGAAAGATATAGATTGTAGCATGTGTTAGCTTGCTTATTTTTGCTCAAGTACATGATCTAAGTCCTTATGTCAAACTAACGAGAAACTATGCTTCTAACTACAGGTCGAGAGCTGTAGTTCCACCACACAATTTTGCGATGCTGTTTGTGAATGTTTGCTGGAACTATGGATTTGGGAAACACTACATTGTTGATACCAACAAACTATGTTCAAACTAAGATGCTTTTGGGAAACACCCCAGGCTGGGAGACCAGCTAAGACAAGACTCAGTTGTGCTTTTCAGCAGGGTTGACTATTACGTTCTGCAAGGATACAGGCAGTAATGTAGCATTAGCAAGTCTACAAAAGGATTTCAGCTTTAAAGCAACTCTCATCTCGAATGGATGTCCAAGCTGGGACACATTCAGACAACTCTCTGTTTCTTAAAACATCAAACTAAGAACATCCATTGGACAGATCATCATACATATACGCTAAAGTGCACAAGCTCCTCTTTAGGAGAACTAGACAATACTGGCAATTAATACTAAGGCAATACAGTTACAAACACACAAAAATACAAATCGGCACAGAATGTCAAGTTTATCACTTGGGCACAAATACAACCAGCACTGGTTCAGAAATGGCTCTCACAACCACCAGAATGTGCTATAATAATCATTTTGAGTTAATATGTTAAAATGCAGTGGCTTCAAGTGGATTTAAAGCCAAATCCTTCATCTTTGCAGTTACATAAGTCATCATATTCAACACATCTGACACACACACGCACACACAAGCAGAATGTATCTACCATTTATGATTAAATATTTGTTGAATAGAGAAAATAAAATTATTTACCACACAAATAGACTCTGCCTTATATAAAATACAGTGATGTATTCACATAGATATGTACTTGGTCATGAACATCTTAAAAGTCTATTTACATACTATCATAGGGCAGAACCCTAATTATGCTTATGTGTTATTTTCTTTTTGGAATTTATATATATAACATTAAATTTAGCTCTGTTAATACCCTGAAATATCTATAACTTTGTATAAGAAAGCTAAATAAGTACATGAATGGGTCGGTAAATTAAGAAATATGTTGCTATTATGTAGGAAAGTGTTTTACTACATACTGTATATAGACTAAATTTGTAATTTTTAAACCCATGTTTTTTTTGTTTTTTTATTACATACAGTATATAATATATGTGCTATTGTTTCTTTGCAGGGGACATTGTTGAAAGAAGGAATATTTGATTTATTTTTATTTTTATTGCTTAAAAGTGAACATCTACCTAAACCGTTTCCAAGACCAACTGTACGCTCGATTGCACTTTTCCAAGTATTAAGTTGGAAAATCAGAATTTCTGAGTAAAGAGATAAAGAATATTGCACGTTATTAGGGGGGAAAGGGAAATTCCCATTTTAAAGAGCATTTTATAATGCGAACAGGATTAGTCAAGAATATTTAGATTTTTTAGTAAGATCATTTTTAATTTTGTTTTTATTTATTATTATACATTACATTTAGTCAAATATTAGAACTACAGTAGCATATTATATGTTTATATAACATTACTGTTCACTATAAATGCTGGCAGCCTCCTGTCAATATCATTTTAGAGTGCACCATTATATTTGTGCTTGTTTATGCACATACGTTAATTAGTTCCAGCTATGTACAAACTTCATGTCCACACACAATACAGTTTTTATTTATTATTATACATTACATTTAGTCAAATATTAGAACTAGAGTAGCATATAATATGCTACTGTATAGACATGTTTATATAACATTACTGTTCACTATAAATGCTGGCAGCCTCCTGTCAATATCATTTTAGAGTGCACCATTATATTTGTGCTTGTTTATGCACATACGTTAATTAGTTCCAACTATGTACAAACTTCATGTCCACACAAAATACAGTTGGTCAAAACTGTTTTAAAAACTCTTCCTATGGTCCTGTATCTTGTTAAATCGATAAAAGTCACACATTGTCTTGTGAATACAAAAGCTTTAGGTTCGATGAAGTGGTTTTGTCTCTACTATTATAATATAGTCTGTAATCTGGTACTCTGAATAACTGTTCAAATAGAAACGTAGGACCTTCACTGAATAGAAGCAAATAACTCTTCATATTCTCAATAAACACATGTAAACAAACAAAGTCATGTTAAAGACACTAAGATAGACAGTAAAAGCAGACGGTAACACTTTTGCAGGGCTTTGGACCATGAAGCCCACAACAACGCTACAATACTAAAGTCTAGATATTTTCATATTGTCTTTTTTTTAAATTTTTTTTAATCATACTACTTTTATATGACTTTGGAGAAGAGGAATCAATGATTTACCGTTACATTCACAACAAATATTCGATCCATCCAGGGACACAAGAATAACAGGTTTTGGAGTCTCAAGTTTTTAAAGATCCTGTCCCAGTCGCTCAATCTCTTCAATGAGGAAGTCAATGTCTTCAAAGGTAGCAGCTGGGTTGGAGATGACCATACGGAAGAAGTTGACCTTGTCTCCCTGCGGTTGATAGCTCACCATGGTCGTTCCGTACTCCATCATTCTGGCTTTGATTACAGGGGCAACCTGTGAGAGAACATTTTACTAGCTTTGGGAAATGTTTTTTTTTTTTTTTTTTTATGTCTCTACTATTATAATATAGTCTGTAATCTGGTACTCTGAATAACTGTTCAAATAGAAACGTAGGACCTTCACTGAATAGAAGCAAATAACTCTTCATATTCTCAATAAACACATGTAAACAAACAAAGTCATGTTAAAGACACTAAGATAGACAGTAAAAGCAGACGGTAACACTTTTGCAGGGCTTTGGACCATGAAGCCCACAACAACGCTACAATACTAAAGTCTAGATATTTTCATATTGTCTTTTTTTTAAATTTTTTTTAATCATACTACTTTTATATGACTTTGGAGAAGAGGAATCAATGATTTACCGTTACATTCACAACAAATATTCGATCCATCCAGGGACACAAGAATAACAGGTTTTGGAGTCTCAAGTTTTTAAAGATCCTGTCCCAGTCGCTCAATCTCTTCAATGAGGAAGTCAATGTCTTCAAAGGTAGCAGCTGGGTTGGAGATGACCATACGGAAGAAGTTGACCTTGTCTCCCTGCGGTTGATAGCTCACCATGGTCGTTCCGTACTCCATCATTCTGGCTTTGATTACAGGGGCAACCTGTAGGGGAAAATGTTATTAGCTTTGGGCATTAAGAGAAATGTTTTGTGTATTGTGTTTATCATATTTTCTGAAGAAAATTTTTTTTTTTTTCATACTGGAGCATGCTTTGAAAACCTATTTAAATGTATAAATACCTTTATTCAAAAGTTTGGGTTCGGTAAGATATTATTTTAGTTTTACAGTTATTTATTAATTTTTTTATTAGTATTTAATTTTTTTTTTCATAACAACTGTAACATTGAGAAATGTTTTTATAATCTCAAATGTAATTTATTCTTATGATGGCAAAGTGACATTTTCAGCATCGTTACTCCAGTCTTAAATGCCGCATGATTCTTCAGAAATCATTCTAATATGCAGATTTACTGCTCAATAAACATTTCTTATTATTATACATTTTGATATGTTTGTGCTGCTTAAAACTTTTGTTGAAACAACTATACATTTTTCAAGATGCTTTGATGAACAGAAAGTTCAAAGGAACAGCATTTATTTGGAATCTTTTGAAACAATGTAAACACTTTCACTGACACTTTAGATCAATGTAAAACAACCTTGATGAATAAAAGTAGTAATTCCTTTCTTAAAAAAATAAAAAAATAAATAAAATCCTGACCCCAAACATTTGAAGGGTACTGTTTTACTTGTACTGTATGTAAAAATGATATGTACTTTCTACATACTTTCATTTATAAAAAGCAAATGGAACAAAAACATTTTATTTAGGCACCTATAATGACAAGGTAACCACTAAAATCTTCATATTTAAAGGGATAGATCACCCAAACTCTATCATTATTTACTCACCCTCATGATACTCCACGATTGCTTTTTTTTTTTTTTTTGCCTGTATAATGAAAGTCAGGTCTCAAAACAACACCCGAGCCTGTTTGCTTTCATTGTATGGACAGAATTTTTGGGTGAAGTGTTTTTACATTTTTGAGAAATTTTAAAATAATACATAGCACAATATAATTTTACATTTATTTGGATTGTACAATTAATAATTTAAGTTATATCAATAGAAGAGTTGAATGTTGTATAAAGACTGTACGTTAACCAGTTCCAGCTAAATTCATTGCAGAATTTTAATACTCTAGATCAAAGCCCAACCATAATGTCAACCAGTAATATCAGTCCAGTGCTTCCTTGTAAGCATACATCCTGATGTTCTGTCCTTGACTTAGCTTGAGCAGAACTGACTTAATTAGATCAGTAGCTTTTTGGACAGTATGTGGGACTGTAATCTGAATAAAAGACACACATCTGCTCATCGCCACATAATTACACTCACCTCCCCTCAAATCGTTTGCAGGTGTCCAGCTATTATCAACAGTGGAGTGCGTCCAGCACTTATAACCGCTTCCATCTCTATGAAACAAGCCTTGATATACTGGAACCTGTCCAGTGTCTTTTCATATATATCTTTAAATAAATAAAACATAAAATACTGTATTGCAGTGTCCCTGCACCATAAATACACATACCTATGTGACTATATCCTGCTACTCAAGAGTCTCCAGAAAACCGTTTTAGCCTATGTAAAAGACAAAGCATAAGCATTCTAGTTTCAGGTAGATGAGAAGGGGTTTGTGGGTAGGGTTAGATAGAGACCCTCTTTGTATGACTAGCATGAATGCCATCTGTTTGGCTTAATAGCCAATTAGAGCTTTGCTGGCATGGGAGCGACTGAAGAGCAGCCAACCAATAAAAGGACACCTGATGAGCAGCCCCTCCCCCTTCAATGACATCACTGCAGGGATGTCATTTTAGATGTTTCTGGTTTGAAGCATCTAGACTTTACAAACAGACATCTTAACCCTTATGTGCTGTTGTGTTTGGGTCCCTGAGACCTCATAATAAAATCACCTTTAAAAATCACATTGTTTCCCTTATA